CCCACTCTCTTGCCCCCAAAGCTTGACTGGCACACATCCTAAGTTACTCAGTGGCCTCACATGCCTGTTGAGGACCACAGCTTGCTAAGTAAACATTCTTACAAAACTCTGGCCTTAATCTTCTAACAGACACAGTCAATAGTTGACTGAATTCTACTTTCTGAGCTCATCTGCTGAAAAAATTAAGCACTTTAGTTAAATAGCACTCCCAGACCGAGAAAAACCCTTATGAATTAACTGCCTTAGCCGAATCACTGTCCCAAACTCTTGCTAACAATACCCAAGGAGCAAGCTACTAAAGTTATGGACTGCTAAAGTTCAGGCTAATCAGCTTATAAACCTCCAGAGGAAATCAACCCCTTCCCTTCTTCCCCAGGGCATTTGTGATTCATAAATCAAATTCTTCATTATCTTAAACATATCTTATATTTGCATATGACACCATAATCACCATTAAATATGCATATCAAGAAGTTAAGGATGACTTTAATCTGCCACAGAAAGAAACCATTCTTCAGTTATGACATGGATACGTACACTTTAACTGAATTGACCACAAGAGGTCATCACTGTGGGTGGTGTCACCCAAACCCTAGTTTTCTATGGTGACCTTAAAGGCCTCTGGTTAGCTCAGGACTGACGAGTCTGCAGAAGCAATCTTTTGCCCTAACTTCCCCTCAAATGACTGAACCACTTCTGAATGCAGCAGACTGTGTGACCCTCCTCCAGTATTAGCCCAACCAGCATTCCACTCTTAAGGGACAGGTGGGTGGATTCAGGATTGTAGTGATGCAAGCATTTACTTACTGAATGTCCCTTCTTTGGTGTTGGTAAGTATAATTGTCACATGGAGGCATTGTTTAACTTCATGCAACACACCTTAAGTGGTGGACAACAGTAAAATGTAAATAGCTGGTAAACACTGAAACGTCCTTAATGTGGAAAACAGACTTACAAAAACACTTGGCGCTTGGTATTCTGTTTGCTTCTCAAGGAGGCACTGCTATTAAAACAGATTGCTGTTTATATACACCTGAAAAATCATTTATTGACCACTGTTCTTGCTAGTTTTTATGTCAACCTGACACAGATGAATCATTGTTGAAAAAATATCTCTACCAGATTGACTTTTAGGCAAACCTGTGTGATCTTTTTCTTAATTAGTGACTTGCTGTGGGACAAAGTTCTTGTACCCTGTAAAGATTTGTCACTTGTATTGATTTAATAAAATGCTGATTGGTCAGTAGCCAGGCAGGAAGTATAGGCAGGGCGACCAGAATAGGAGAATTCTGGGAAGAGGAAAGGCTCAGTCTGCAGTCGTCACCCAGACACAGAGGAAGCAAGATGAAAATGTCTCACTGATAAAAGGTACCAAGCCACATGGCTAACACAGACAAGAATTTTGGGTTAAGATGTAAGAGTTAGTTAATAAGAAGCCTGAGCTAATAGGCCAACCAGTTTATAATTAATATAGGCCTCCATGTGTTTTGGGGGAACTGAATGGCTGTAGGACCTGGAGGGACAGACAGCTCTGTCAATCATGACTGATGTGGGAAGGCCCAGCCTGTTGTGGAAGGTGTCCCCCCCCCCCCAGATAACTGGTCCTAGATGTGTAAGAAAGCAGGCGGAACAAACTGTGGAAGCAAAACTAGCAGCATTTCCCCATGGCCTCTTCTTCAGTTCCTGCCTCCAGGTTGCAGTTGCGGCTTGAGTTCCTCTCACAGATTTCCTGGAATGCTAGACTGTGACCTGAGAGTTGCAAGCCTGAATAAATCCTTCCTCCTGAAGTTGTTTTGGTCATGTTGTTGTTGTTGCTTGTTTGTTTTTGTGATAGGATCTCTTTCTGTAGCCCTGGAGGTCCTGGAACTTGCTCTGTAGACCAGGCTGGCCTGTTTCTGCCTCCCAAGCACTGGGATTAAAGGTGTGCGCTACAATTCCTAGCTAGTCACGGTATTTTGTCACAAAAAATAGAAACCCTAATTAAGGCACCTACTTAGAAAAAGTTACCCAAAATTGATGCTTTAAGTGGCCCTGAAACTAGCCCAGGAGAACTCTTAAAGGGGTGTTTGGATCTGGTTCCAAATGGCTAGAATCTAGTTCTATTGGCATTTTAAAAAGAGTTTTAATACTATATATAATTCATTGCTTAGTTACTTCTTTGCCCAGGGTAATAATCCCATGTTGGTTACAATAATCTTAACTGAGAAATGGTTTCAAGTTATTGCTTCTGCCCTATCCCTGACTGCAACTTTGTTACTTAGTGTGGCTCTGTCACATCTTCTCTCCTTTGAGGGACAAACCTTCCTGGGAATGAGTTATTCCAGCTGTAAGGGACTAAATGAATATAAAATTGACAAATTGTGTGTGATTTAATGATGGGCGTCCTAGCATTGGGGTAACTTTTCTGCACCAATTATCATTCTTTTCTTGTAACTTTTAAAATCTCTCTTTTCAGCCTCCCCCTTACCCTACACACTATTTGGGGGAACCCACTCAGATCCATCTGAACCTTGGGGAGACTTTAGAACTACAGTTTGCAATGTTACGCTTCCAATTTCAGAGTCTGAACTGATCAATACCCATGCTGTGTACCTTATCATTAAACCAGACATCTGTGGCCTAATTTATAATACCGTCTGTATTAAGACACTAGGAGAAAGTAGCATGTCTCTATGGGTTATACAAGCTGTCCTAACGGATTATTGAGGAGGGAGGGGACTGTTAAAGTTCACTTTATAGCCAATTGGTCAGGCTGAAATTGGTGACTACGTGGGAACTGTCTTGTGGGACTGAGCCCTTAACCTGTGGGAAGAAGGTCTGTCGAGACGGACGTGGTAGCATGGAAACATAGGATATCCAGAGGGCGTTAGTGCAAAAATCCTGGCATATATGTTGACAGGAGTGTTTGTTCTGTGTGCCAGTACAGTAGGAGAAATGTTTCCTAGCCCCATCCAAAACCAGAATGGTGGGCTTCCTTACACAAAGTATCCAGAAGGCATCTGGTATGCCCCTCAACTCTGTCCTTGTCCTAAAGAATGCTACTGTTCCTTTGATATGTTATTACAGCATTGCCTTTTGCTTTTCTACATAGACTGTCTCCCATGCTATACACACCATGCACCATGGAATGTCTGATGTGGGATTCCCTTCTGTATGCTGTGAACACCATTGGTTAATAAAGAAACCGGTTTGGCTTGTTAGGGTAGAGTAGAGCTACGTGGGGAAAACTAAACTGAATGCTGGGAGAAAGGAAGCAGAGTCAGGGAGAAGCCATAGAGCTGCTCCCAGAGACGGACATGCTGGATGGAACCTTACCGGCAGGTAGGCCACGAGTCTCATGATAAAATATCAAATAATGAAAATGGGTTAAATTAAGATATAAAGCTAGCCATTAAGAAGTTAGAGCTAATAGGCCAAGCAGTGACTTAATTAATACAGTTTCTGGGTGGTTATTTCGGGAGTCTGGGCAGCCGGGAAATGAAAAAGCAGCCTCCTACTACAAATGTCTTAATACATCACATGAAAAATGTTTCCCTTGAGACATTGGAAAAACAGCAGGCTCTATGTGACAGGCATTCTCAGAGCCAAAAGAATTTTTGTGCTGACTGTTCTACATATGGCTATTGAGCATTTAAAATGACACTAGTGTTAATTGAAGGATGAAATTTAAAATTCTTATTTTTTAATTAATTTAAATAGCCCTATGTAGTTAACTGCTACTAACCATAGCCTGTAGTGGCATTTCATTTGTGGTTTAATAAATGAAGCTTGTCTGAAGATATGAGAGTAAAACAACCCCACTGGTCAGCCTTACAGACCAGGCAGTAATGACACACACCTTTAATCCCAGTAGCCACATTAGTTTGCCATAGAAACTGGGTGGTGCATGTCTTTAATCCGAGCCCTAGAGAGGATTGTGAAACAGAAAGAGACAGCTCTCAGTCACAGTCTCATTCTGAGATTCCTGGAGGCAGGATCCCCATTTTGGACTGAGGCAGAGGTAAAAGCCAGTGGCTGGCTGTTTTGCTTTTCTGACCTTCAGGTTGAACCCCAATAGCTGTCCCTGAGTTTTTATTAATCATGCTTCAATAGCCTAAACACTTTTATTATTTGAAATTATACTTCAACTTTTGAAGAGTGATGGAGACATTCAGTGGTTACTGTTGGCTATAGAGCACTTTAAAATAAGTGTGTTGGTATATGGCTTCCTTATAGAGCTCTTACCCAGAACATACATGGTCCTGGATTTAAAATTTGGTATCAACCCCTTTTAAAAAGGTCACATGACTCAAGTTTTATTTTAAATACTACAGTAGCAAACAAACAAAATTGTGTTCTTTCTTCTTACCTCACTTAGGCTTATCAAATGACATCATCCACGGTCAGGATGTGGAATGGCTTTGGTCTTGGTGCAGTACAAGAGATAGACTTTAAAATATATGTATACATATATGTATATATAAATATGTACACATGCATATATACGAAGTGAGAGCTATAAAGGTGATAATTCAAAGCTTATAATTCCTTTTTGCCTTGAGTTTAACCCTTATAAAGTAAGGTACTTTGTTGTTTTTGTTTTGTTTTGTGGTGCTGGGTTTCAAACTGGACCCTGAATATGCTAGATAAACAGTCTACCACTTAACTACACCTTCAGCTCCAGTTTGGCATTTTACAGTTAGGACACAGAGCATTCTAGATATCCTATTTCCCACATTAATCATTTTTATAGCTATGCTCAGTTATTGAAAACAGCCTAGAGTTTGGTTTGTAATATTCAGTAGCCAATTGTAGGCACCGAAAACATTGGCAGGTAAGGGCAGGCCCTACACTTGCTGTAGCTCATAACTGTGACATGAACCCTGAGGTCAGCTCTAAGCCTGACCCCTTCCTCTCACACATTTTCCCCCTTTGCTTTAATCACTGACATCACGAGTACATGGGAAGCCACCCTCTCGTTGAATAGCAGTGTTGGCGGAATGAGCAGCGGTTTCTCTCACCGGGCCTCATGTCTGCAGCACTGGGACTCAGCACTTCCTCCTCGAAGGGGACATCCATTCCCACATCCTCCGACGGGGATCTGAAAAGAAGCAAAAGAGAACATAAAAACACCACACCTGGCTTTTAAAATCAGTTAACAGAATGGAGGATTGGCATTTCAGCTGGCTTGATGTAAGCCCAGTACGTGTGCAGAGCCCATTGGTAAGTGGCCCCAAGCGCAGTTTCTGTGGATGAGAACCACAAATGCCAATTTCCGTGACGCCACTAAGAGCAGTTTGTGAACCCCAGTCACTTCTCCAGCTCCCACAAGAAATACAAATTCAGCAAGACTTCAGGAAGAGAAAAATGCAAAACGCTAATTCATGGCAAGGGATATCAGACATAAATTTTTTTTCAACATGAGAGGCAGGGGCTGTGCTCTACAGTAGACAGAGCTCAGTATCTACCCTCCCCGTCTATAAATGTGTGCTGAATACCTCAGCTGCACCTGCCAAGGGCAGGATACGCCACTGATCTCACTTTTTAAGCTTATAAACTAGGGCTACGCGACCTACCTTACTCCGTGTTGAAGGACAAGCGATGGTAGCCACACACCTAACTTCTGAGCAGTCAGGGGCTGGCACTCTTCCCGCCCCCCTCTAAATATTTAAAGATTCCCTGTGGCTATGTGTTGCTGAAGATGAGTTTCCCCCATTAACCATCTCTTGCCTCTGCTCAGAGCTGAGCCCAGTCCGACTTCTATCACCCTCCTCAGTAAGACAGAGGCTGAGGAGCCTGGGAAAGTAGAGAAAAACTTGACAAATCTGCATGCTCTTCTAGGGTGCTGATGGATGTAGACTGAATGTCTCTAGTTTTAATTCTTTGGCCCTTGTCTGCTCACCTATCATGGTCTCACACATATCTTCTTGTTGGCTTCCATGAAATTTTAATCCTCTATGGTAAATTTTCAGATGTAGGCACAAATCTAAGTTTAAATAGGCTAACTCTGTACTCAAGGTCTCAATTTATTGTCTTCCTCCATCCCTCCCTTAACGAGCCTTTTTTTTTTTCTCTATACCAAAGATTTGGAGTTTGACCAACTTCTGTAGGAGTCAGGTTAAGTCCACTGTTGTCGACAAAGCCCTGACGTGATAAAGTCCTATGCCTCTGGTGATAACTAGGCTGGCTTTGACTCTTCAGCAGATATGTGTTGACAGTCTACTAGATGCTGAGAATGTAACATCCCATCAAGGAAATGGGAAGATGGAGCTAAATCAATGCCCAGTGCTCCACACAGCTCCGTAGCCACTTCCCTGGGGAAAAAAAAAAGTGCCCCTGTCTGCCCCACTATCTCCAAAGACCCTTCTAAAACACAGCAGCAGGAATTGTTAAACATCCCCAAAGGTCCAGATGCTAAAGGCTCTGTTCTCACCTGTGGCACTCCTGAGGTATAGAATCTTTAGGGGACAGGCCTCCTAGAAGGAAAGTATGTCACTGGGAATGTGCTCTTGAAGGGGCTGTTGGGACACTGCCTGGAGTCTCTTTGCTTCCTGGCTGCCGTGGCTGTGCCCTGTAACTCGCTGCTGTCGTGTATACTCTGCCTCACGCCAGGCTCCAAAGAAGCATGGCCAAGCAATCATAGATTGAAACTTCTGATGCCATCAGTCAAATACAATTCCTTCCTCTTTGTAAGTTCAACTGTCTTGTCAGCAACGGGAAGCTGACTAACTAGGGAGTGTCTCTGTAGAACATCTGTGGCTTTGACCTTATGCAGTCTTGAAAACTGACCCTGAACCAGAGCTGATGGACAGCAAGCAAAGCTGGAGGTATAGTTCAGGACAGCCCCTGGCTGGCATGTGGGAAACCCCACATTCAATCTCTCGCTCCACACGCACGAGCTCAGACCATGTTCCTCTGAGACAGGGTTCCTCACTAAGCCTGGAGCGCATGATTTTCAGCAACTCTGGCAGCCAGAAAGCCTCACACTCCTCCTGTCTACCCCCAGCAGGGTAGGAATGCTAGCCCAGCCTTTGGTCTGGGTGATGGAATCCAAACTCCAGTCCTTCCGTTTAACCACCAAGCCCTCTCTCTGGCCTTGAGGTTCTGATTTTGGAAGTCCTGCGATTCAGAGGGATAAATTCCTGATTTACCAAGATGGCATAGTTTGACATATATAACATACACACACACACACATTGACCTTCTTGTCTCAAGTCATCTGTGGGGCTCTCCTGAATGTTAAGTCACTCTATCTGTCATGTAGGAAAATGCTAAGAGCGGTTAGCCTCAACACTTAGATCAAGCTGGGTGTGGTGGCCCACAACTGTTATCTCTGCACTTGGGAGGTGGAGACAAGAGGATCAATGCCACCTTCAGCTACAAAAGGAGTTTGGGGCCAGGGGTGTGTCCATGAAATCCAGTCTCAAGAACAAAAGAAAAAGAAAATACAATACAAAACAAAAACAACAAAAGACTTGAAAACAAAGCCAGCTAAATTAATCACTTGCTGTGTGCTACAAAACATGTTACACCATCATTTGTTTCTGTTTCCTCACCAATAAGAGGAGAATGTGGCAGTTCTCCAGCATGACTGATGACAGAAACCACCACACCTATTATCACCGAAGCGATTTTCTTCTCCAGGCTAAATGCTTTCTCCATGTTCGCTGTTGTATTTCCAGTACCCAGGCGGGTAAATACCCAATAAGTCTATGTTAGACAGGAGTAGTTGAACACACACATAATTTCTCTAGTCTCCTGTCTGAGAGCCAATCTTAAATGCCCGAAAAAGCTTCAGATTCTGAGTGACCATCACACTGAGCTCAAGGCAGAAGTCACAATACTCGCTGACTGTGCACAGAGAAGTTCAGGCTTCAGCCTCAAAATAGGGTTGGGGTTTTAAACATGACAAAGAGTATCAACCTAAATTTTTGTGAGTTTTATGAAGTCTGCGGGTCACCAGCAATTTGGTGAAGTAACTGCAGAAGTTCTGGCTGTGAGGTCAGGGTTCTGAGCTGTGGTTGCCTTAACCACTGATGAGCTGATTGGCTGAGAAAACTGGCTGCCAGTTTTAAGGGTTTTAAATAGAGACAATAAAAAGCCAACATCCCAGACTATGGAGAACAAACATACACAATATACATGAAACCCTCTGTCTGAGTTTAAGACATCCTTACAGTTAAGAAATAACATCAAAAGCAGTGGTTTAACTGACGTATGGGTTGTACATGTTTGGACAAAACATCGCTAAGATTCCTACGAATTGTGTATGGACCCAGGTAAGAGGTAATTTCACAGCTGCACAAATCTGCAGATCCTAGCCTGCCTCCCAGCTCACCAGAACAGAGTCTGAGACCTCAGCAGCTGTCCTCAGCACAGGGTGGAGACCGATGAAGAAAGGGTCTGGGAAAGGGAAAAGCTGAAGGCCATGCTCGGGGGTGTTTGGAGTCAAGAACTACCGACAAGCCCATGGGCATTCAGAGGTTATGAGGGAAATCCGAGCTGTAAGAGCCTAGAAGCCCTCCTAGGAGAGCCCAGGCAAGGCTCGGGAGCAGAAACATCTGTAGAAAAGAAAGAAATGGCCTGAAGAAGACTAGGTGGCAGAAGTGTGCCCGGTGAGCTGGCCACATGTCTCCACCTAGAGGATGCCTCACGACTGTTCTGTGGGTTCTTTAGTGGACAGAGTAATGTCACCACTTGTCCCCCACTCCTGATCTTTTCAGTGACCATGTGACTCGCTATAGCTAATGAAAAGACTTAGGAACAGGAGCATGTGGTATCATCCTTCCTGCATTGGTGGTCTTGAGGGTTCCGCCTGGCTAGATTTCCGGTGCCGATGATGCGCTAAAGACCAGTGGGTACATGAACAAGAAATGGTTTTCTGTTCTGTTTTGCTGTGAGACCGTGCCCTCACCTGCCCATTCTGATAGACACCAAACTTTATTCCTTCAGAGGGAATATGTGGCTCACACTGTGGTCAAAATGTTATTTGCTCATTTGGATATCCAATTTCCACATTCCCAACACAGTCTGTGTCTATGATACATATCTTGCCTGCGATGTGAAAGTGTAGGAGTACATTATAAAAGTGAAGACATGAATTTGGGAAGGCATAAAAGGTTTTCAAGTATACCATAAATTGAAGTATTAAAATAATACCTTTATGCTTTTTTTGTTTTTTTTAAAGGTCATCATCTATTACTTCATATTTACTCAATTCACTCAATTTACTTAATTTTTTTAATTGGTGTCATATTCAATTAAAATTATTTTGAAATGAATGTTTATAGCAGTAATATACTTCGATACTTAAATTGCCTAGAATAAATTAATCATGTGAATTAAGTAAAATATTGCTTTTCACTTCAATTTAGAGACCTTTTGGTCTCCCCATCTGTGGTTTTCTGCCTTTGCTAAGTAAGAAAAGAGAATAGAAAGTCTTAGCTATGTCTAGCAGAGTGTAATGGCCTGTATACGTGCTTTCTCAATGTCCCCCCACATAGCCACAGTCTCTGTGGCTTCTGTTACTATACACAATTCTAGTTTAAAAATATTAAATGGAAAATTCCAGAAAGAAAAAACACATAATTGCTACAATTCCTTTATTAGTTATTGGTTTTTTACCTCTTATAATACCTAACTGATAAATATTATCATTGATACAGATGGACAGAAAAAAATGCAGTGTACTGTCCATAGAAAGTCTTGAAGGTGAAGTGAGGCTACCCTACAGAAACATAAGAACTACCATATGAAATTGAATACCTAGACAATGATGAAAGACATTTCCAAGATTAAACTCTGCCAAGAGGAATTCCTAGGTATCATCATGAAGTTATTAAAAAGCCAATGAGTGGGTAAGATCTCTAGACTAGACACAGGCCAGTCTAGGCCTCCCCATGCCGGAAGAAAGTCACAGACCTAACCTGCTACAGAAGGCTCTAATAAAAAATTAGAGAAGAACTCCCTCTAATGAAAACAGATGAGGAAGTCTGCATTCTCTGGCCGTAAAACGCAGAGTCAGATAGGTGTCCTGGGTAGAAGATGAACAGCAACCTCTAAGAACTGAAGTACTAGCCATGCGCTAGGCATGTCCTCATT